TACTATAATTAACACTAGACGTGCTTTGTTATTTGACTCGACTGACAATCATCGCGTTTTGCAAACCAGGACAAAATAGCGAGGCCCGAACATGGTTGAAAATGTTCAATATTCTGCAGAACTTTTGCCTTCGTAAAAATTTCATTTGAAGGCATAACAAGCAGGGAAAATTATACGTGCTTCGGTTAAAAAAAGTCAATCACTTATAATCGTGGCACAAGAAACAGGAGAACGCCATATATAAGGTCACACCTAGTGCGATAAGTTAAAAATAGATGATTTTGAGAATTAAGAAACACTACTCTCCCAATTGTTTTAACCTAGAACCAAAGGACATATTTATACATACTTTTATAATACACAGTAAAATTTTTAAATATTTTAGTTACAAGCGATTTCAGTCTAAAATTGCGTAAGTGTTACCTTCAAGCGACGAAATTCCCCGACTATAATTTCAAAATTTTCAAAATCTATCTTAATATTCTATTTATAAACCCATAAACACCATTTTCCTATTTGTAATAAAAATGTTTTTTCAAATAATCTTATCTAATATGCAATGTATTAGCACACCTAACCACATGCCACATTATTAGTCATAACATTAAAAGAAAAATATACAAAAGCTTCCAAATAATAACAATAAACAACAACAAAGTAATAAAAAGCAAAAACACCACAAATACCAAAACAATCGCGATAATATAGAGCATACAAAGAGGAAGAGACAGTTGAGGCTCTCGGCTAACGTACATTACTTATTCATAAACACACTTTGCCGAAACTAGCCAAGTTTTTTGTTGTTATATCATCATTGTATAAATATTTTACATAATTCGCTATTTTTAGAACATTTTAACACTTTCTGTTGCGCCACGTTGTTATCATTAATTTTTTGTTCGATATAATTTGCTTTTGTTTCGGATGTTTTATATTTCGAATTGCCTTTTCGGCGGCTGTGTTCACTCAAATTAGGCACAAAAATATGTAACAATTCATATATGCGATATATATTTTTAATTTTCCTCTCAAAGCGCACATACTACGTCGCCGACGAATCAAACACATAGCATATGTACAAACCGACAGATCGCTGTCAAGCATACTATATTTTCATATAGTGGAAATATGCAAAAGACCGCGTTCAGACAGAGAAACTTTATGTCATTGTAGCACAATTTTGTTACGCATTAAAACTCACCTGCAATAATCTATTTAAAATTTTATAGATATTTTGTCATATAAAAAGGTTCCTATAAATGGATTTTATTTTGATCGGACAGCTTGTCCGACAGCTATATCTGATCTTAATAATATGTTTGGATATTATGCCGTTATTTTGGACCCTAATCTGTCTCAAATTTCTCAAAGATATTTCGTCAAATAAAAAAGTTTTCCATACAAGGACTTTTTGATCAGTCAGTTTGTATGACATCTATATAATCTATATACTATAAGGGTCCGATCTTAACCAATATATTTGGAGATTCTATCATTGTTCTAGAAAATAATCCATGCCAAAGTTATGAAGATATTTATTCAACTAAAAAACCTCTTAATACCAGGATTTTATATTGATCGGACGGTTTATATGGTAACTAACATAATATGTATATATTATGGTGGTCCGATATCGGCGATCCGAACTAATTAGCAGTTTCTTTAAGAGAAAAGAACGTGTGTAAAATTTCAGATCGATATCGAAAGTTGAGGGACTAGTTGGCGTACAGACAGGCGCCCATGTCTAAATCGGCTCAGCTTGCCAAGCTGATCATTTATCCACTTTATGGGGTCCACAGTGATTACTAATGAGTGTTATAAACTTTTTGGCAAACTTCATACACTCTGTTCAAGGTATGAAATTGGAAAATACAATTTTTAAAAAAGTTTCCATGTCTGAACACAGTCTGAACACATGCAAAATTTCAACAGAAAAAATTTCCGCCTGCTTCGCTTTTAACTTTTTCGTCTTGTTTGCTGTAATTGAGTGTGAATGTCGACACGCCCACTCAGTGGCTGGCACTTTTGACGTGGAATAATCCACGTAAGTGCATGCAAGTTCAGTGTATGTGTGTGTGTGCCATATGATGCTGGTGAAGGCTCCACGTCGCTGTGGAGCGTTGCATACATTTGCTTGGCTAACATGTTGAGGTGTTGCATGCCACTGGCTACATGCAACAGTGTTACTGTATATTAATATGTCCATATATGTATATACACATATTTGGCATATATTACTACAATTAAATGCATGCCATTGACATGCCACACGCGCACACGCGCTGTCAATTTGCATAAAAAACTAGAAAGTTCACACTTGCAACGCAAATAGCTGGCAGGTGTGTAATAAAGCGAACGCGAAATTTTTCTGAACTTGCAACACCAAATTCAATTAAACACCTGAAAACACGGCTTGTATGTATATGCGTATGTAGTTAAGGGAAAAACACATAAATATGTAAGTTGGAAAAACTACTTGCAACATCATATGCATACTATATGTATGTATGTATGTATTTGAAAACGCTGAACTATGTTGCTGACGAAAAAATTTAAAAGGAAATATGCCAAAAATGCAGCAGCGCATTTTATTTCATTTTCCATTGCTACAAGCTGTTGCATGCCGTGTTTATTTATTTATAATAATGTTTTCGCGCTTCTGCAATAACTGTTTAAATACTGAAATGCTTGTTTGTATAGATAACCCGGAAGTAAATGCACTAGGTCCAAACTGTCTCGTTTCTGTTACATTTCGAGCTATTAGTGATTTCTGTTTATTGTGTAGTGCTGTGTTCATATACAGCAACTTTAGTTTTTGGAATTTAAAAGAAAAACCGGCTGATTCGAAAGTCTACAGTCAAAGACAAAGTTTTTTTTGTTTTTTTGCGAAATAGCGAAAAGTCCTACTGTGTTTGAAAGTTGAAGTACACACCAAAAACCAAAAATATGTAGATACTCCAACTTCTTAATATTGATTTCTTTTTCTGCAGAATTTGACAGTCTAGAAATGTAGCGTTCAAGTATTTTTATGGAAATATAAGACATGACTCAAGCATCAAGTACATTCCTGTTACGTGAACACGATTATAGTGGTAACTGATAGCCTTTACACAACAACAATGCCAAAGCAAGTTAGGCTAGGTTATACAACTGATCTCAAGAGTGGATTTCGCTCGGGCTGATTATGAGCAGTTCTTTTTGAAGGCAGAAAGAAAACTCCAACTAAACTGGATGTATAATGATGTGAGATCCAAGATGCTCTAGGTTTCATCTAGCAGAAAAAAGTGTTTAGTTTTATCAACATAGTATTCAAACAAGCAGCTTCAATGAAGAGCTAAAACTCTACTATTAAGAAAAACTTAACCTTGTTGCCGGTGAAATGCGACTTTTGAATTTTTTTTTTACCAGCGCTCACCGTACCGTACTGCGCCAGCGCTCATCAAGTTCCCACAAGTTCGATTTATCTAATAATAACCCCAAAGAGACAGAGGAACTCCGACCCACTTTCATCCCAACAAGAGTGTTGATAAGATGGGCCTCTCTTATCAGCTTTAGAGTCTCCAGCAATACTATAGCCTGATACGCGAACTAGTCTTAACCATAAGTAACCCATTGCAACCTAGGCTTTAAAAACGCTTCAAGGATTATGCAACTTGAAACACATTCCAACAAGCCTTCACCCTTCCGCAAAAAAACTCACTGCATCTCTCCCGTCGGCTTCTGTCTTTAGCAGCTTTTTCTTCCTCACAGCTTCCTTCCAATTATAATAGCCAAGAAAATATCGACAGCGCTTGATTCGGTGACTTTGGGATCCGAAAGTCCAATATGAATTCAAACTGATAATTCCAATGTGCTCAGACACAAGTTCATTTAGATAACCGGCTTCTCTGGGTCTACAAATAACATTTCTTCTATTACGACGGGTGCTATGTGCATAATAGATTTTTTTTTTTGTTTTTTTTTCCTTTCCATTTGTTTAAACTTACACGAGTTGCTTCCCTCAAAATATGTTCAGTAATGAAACTCATAAACTAATACTTCGTCTGCCGTCAAATGGATGCGCGTATCTTCTAAAGGTTAGAGCTGACTAAAATTCATAAGAACTTAATTCTAGTAGTGCCATCAATGTGTCAGCCTATGTATTCCAGTTCACTTCGGGAGCTTGCATCTCCACTTATCCATAGGGTATATTTCCTGTGACGCGCCCAAATATAAACGGACTTATATTTTTCCAATTCATAGTCAATAAATGCCACCGTAGGTGTGTATATGTTTATACATATCCATTCTATTTACATTCAATTAAAATTTGTTCAATTCAGTATTTTTTTGAAAAGCTTTTGCTTGCGAATTGCAGCACAATTACACGCTTTCACCGTAAATGCGCTAATTCTGGGCCAAAAAATAGTGGTATCTGCATATCGTTTCTTTACAAAGCTAATGAGTGAACACAGACACACATATGTAGTTGATTTGTGGAGAGTGAATGAAAAAATAAAAAATCTTGCGGTCGAAAGTTAATTTTCATCAATATCCATTGATATCACAATGCTTATTTACTCTGTAATAATATAAATAGTTAATAGATTATGGTAAAAAGCCAATTAAGTTTTTTATTTATTTGATTGATGGCATGCGTTTCATTTAAAAATATATTATTTTTTAAGTTTTTTAAATTCAACTGTTCTAATATTTAAAATGAAAGGAATTGGAAGGAAAATAATTGCTCTTTGCTATGTTCGCAAGTAATTTCAATTTCATTTTTAAATGATAAAATACAAAGTGTAGAATAGTAATAAAAATAAACATAAAATGTACTAAAAATATAAAATATCGTACTAAATTTTTTTATCTGCTGCAACATATATAAATACTATCCACATCACCTTATAACGCAATATTTATCCAACACTTTTTTTTTTTTGTTTTTTTAGAATTTTTATACATTTTTCTAAATCTGTGCAATGTTGATTGATTTATTTTTATTTGTTTCATTACAGCTGAGCTCAACAACCACAAATGGTTGCCACTTAATGTCTACCTCACCCACGCAAACATATGAAATACACGAAGATGTTGACGCGAGACTGTTGATAAGCCATCCGGAACCAACACAAGAGACAATCTCACGGTGAGTAGTGACAAATACATACAGTGTCTAATTCATATAATCCATCCATAGATTGCCATCGCTTAACGATTTATCTATCCATTCAGTATTTGCTTACCATTTAATATTGTATTTAGTGATTTCTAATGCAATTTCGTAGCCAAAGCTATGGTGTAGTTATAACGTTCGGGCAACACACGTTAAGAACAAACAAAACTCCTTAAGATCACTAAAAAAAAAAAAAAAAAAAAAAAAAAAAAAAAAAAAAAAAAAAAAAAAATGATTTGACAAATACTTTCAGAGATATGAACGTATAAAGAAGTTTGTTCTTTGAATTAATTTCGATTTTTTAACCACCCTTTATGCTGATATACCTAGTGCTTATCCATTATAGAAAACTTTCGTGACGGCCAAATTTTCAAGAGAGAGTAAAGAAGTCATCGGTTTCCTTATATTGCTTTAGGAGAGCTACTGGGAAAAAGGTGAGGACTTTGACCAAAAGTGGTGTGTGTTATCTATAAGCTACCGTCGTCAAGACAACGATGTTGTATTAGTCTAATAGATGGCGCTCGAAAAGGCTACACTCGATATAATGTTTGAATATGTCCAAAATGCGACTCTCATCGGCATCTGCGATGCACTGGGGGTACACCGGCAATAGCACTTAAGGCCATATTACAAATAACACTCGTAGACATTGCGGGCTGGTGTGCTAAAACTTCACGTAACCCCCCATATAACTAATATTAGGATTTTCGGACAGCTGTCTGACTTTACTCCCTATGATTGTTGGTTGGCCATTTGCCGATTCGCTTTAAAAATTTAACCTGTGAACCGTAAATGTTTCCTCGAAACACTTAAATCAATATGCTTTAAGCAATTGTCTTCTCTTAGCACTGCCAGAAAATCTTCAGATACTTTATTTTACTAAATATTAATATACATTGCTTTAAATCTTAGTACCTTGTCTAGGCTCAAACGAATACCAAATAATATTTAAAGCTATAAAATTGCTACAAGTACTTTTAAGATTCTAATATAAATTATAGAGGCCCCCTGTATTTTACAAACAATGACAAAATTAATAAAGACACAAGTAGGCAATCTTCCGAAACAAATTCGCAATTTTTACTCTTGTTTGTAATCTGTCAACTTGTAATTTCATAAGTCAACGAAAGCATTTTACAACCTAATATTTTGTCTGGCAAATTAAGCGTCAACCTGAATTGCCAAAACATATAAAAGCGTCGTAAAAATGCCACATTCTGGCTACATTTTTCCCAATTACAAATGTACTAAAAGTTTTTAAGTGCTTCCACCACATTAGTCTAGGTAATAAATAAAAAATAAAACTATTTTAAATTCACGAGTAGTTGTAATTATTTGTAGACGATGTCTCTATTAGTGAAGGTAGCCACTACTTTTGAAACTTAGAAATAAAAATTTCATAATAGCTTAAAATAACAAGTTCTCCGATATGGCGAGCTTATTGTGACCATTTAAAATTGATGCATGTTTGTATAAGTAGGAAATCAGAAATAAACTCGGAAAAAAATTTTAGAAGTCATTCTCACACGGTTTGATATTAAACGAATTAATTTGGGCTGTATTTCTCTCAGCTTGTGTTAATTATTGGGCTTGTATAAGGTCTAGTAAAAGAAAGTGTTTTATTTTTTTATTAAATGTCAAAGTAGAACGCTTCTGGGCGATTGCTTCCCTCATTACTGCAGTTCGACCTTAGAGAAGCAACTTTCGCACTTCAGAAATGGATCGTTTTAATTGTCATTCAGAAGTGTTTTGCATAGGGAATTCAGCCACTGAGTCTTTTGGGTTAGCTCAAATGTTCGGATCAGAATCATAAGCACTGTTGATATTTTTTAGTCATCGCATAATAAAAAATTATCTTTTTGCTAGTGTCCATCCGTGAAGCATAATTGACAGTACTGAGTAAAGTTTTCCCAAAACGGTGGATACCGATGGATGACTGATGAAAAGTAGGAAATTTATTAACCGTCGCCGAATTCCCGAATACATTTCTATTTGGAAAATTTGGTCGGCCTCTGATTTATAACTCTCAATACCCGATGAAATAATCATGTGACAACTTTAGCCGTCTTCTGTTAAAGTGTTTATATAGAATATAAAATATAAATTTCTTAAAAAAACGTCTATTTTCGCTTGCCTTTCTTTAATCTTTAGAAAATTGTCTACTTATCGATGTATGATAGCATAGCAACCCTTATTACAGTAGATTTTACTGTTGTCAAAATCAGGAAACTGAAACCCCCTTTCCCTCAAAGCAAAATCCTGCTAAAGTATCCAAAGCAAGTTAAGAGGCAACAACATATCAGTAGACTTAGTAGTAATACTTAGTTATATTAGGCATAATTTCTTAATAATCTATCATAACATGATCCAACAACCTTTATTGTTATATATAATTTTTCATTATCCTATATTCATTACATATCTAAAACAATATCAATATCATTACTGATATTTTCCATTTGATTGGCGCCATAAAATCACTTTCAATCAACTCACCGATGCTCTCTGTCTACTAAATACCGCAACATTGTCATAATGACCCTAACATCATGTAAAATAATTTCAACGCATTCCACATCACTTTTAACCCGGGCATGCAACATCCACCTGCCACTCATAACACCAACACTTTGACTCATGATTTCCCATCTACTAACCAAACCAAAAACGCAGCAAACAAAATGGCTTTGTGCCACTAAGCACAACAACAATACCAACAGCCAACCATTGTGCTAAAGTGTGCGATCCTATTCATTCACAGCAATCGACAGATTTAATACAAAAGCAACAAAGCGACGCAGCTGCAACCGAATTGCAATTAGAAAGCGCGGCAACTTTTCAATTCACATCGCCGACTACAACATTTAAGCGCAAAAAGCAACAGCAAACACAGAAGCAACAACAACAAAAACAACAATTCGAACAGCAATTCCACAACAATAACAATAACTGTGGTGGCAATCAAACAGTGGCAGCAACGGTAATTAATAATTCACTGGCAACCGAAGCGTCGAAGCAGCCGAAATCAAAATCACCTAATCGCAACAGTGCGGAGAGTGGCAATGTGCAACATGCAGCAACAGTCGACACTTCGATTATATTGAATGGTATAGATGTGGCAGCAACAGCAAAAGCAACAAAAGCGACAAAAGCAATAACGGTTGACGATATTTTAGCAATTGGCGGCGGCGGCGGCGGAGGTGTTGGTGCGCACAACAATACAATAACGACAACAAGGCCAACAACAAGCATACGTACACCGCGCAATCGCACCTTGCCACGCATCGCAACAACCACAACAACACCGCGGGCTGCATATGCAGCTGACAATCTCGATCTAGTGGGCAGCCACACAGGCAAAGCGCCGCTCAACGGTCACAACAGGCGGCAACGTGCCACAGCCAAGGTGAAACAGCCGCCGCAGCAACAGCAACAACAACAACAGCAGCAGCAGCAACGGCAGCYAGCACTGCAACAACACGCACTGCCAAAGAGAATGACCGCAGGCACTGCTGGCGGCAGTAGCAGTGCGAGTGGCAGTGGCAATAGCAGCAATCACAGCAGCAACAGCAACAGTAACAACAACAACAACAACCGCAGCAATACACTACACAAAGAAAACAGCGCTTTCATGGACAGTTTGGGTGCACATTTGGAGTTGGTGGGTTGGCGTAAGAAATGCCTCTACGGCCTGTTGGTGCTGCTAATGCTGCTCATCATCACAAATCTGGTGTTGACATTGTGGATACTGAAAGTGATGGAATTCACGACGGTGAGTAAACCAAACATACGCAACACCACACATACACACATGCGCTCTAATGTTGCTGGCAACAAATTATGCTTATGTACTCATGCCACATGCCTCGGCACAAAGGTGATTGTTGTGACACACACCGGTTCGGTTGAATTCCATTCCATTCGGATTGAATCGACCAGTTGACATCAGGCATGCGGTATGTGTGTGTATGTCTGTGTGCGCATAAATCACTTTGCATATTTGCCTCATTAATCGGCACAATTGTTGTTAATTGACCTTCAATGGTTTCTGTCTTATCATCATTGCAGGATGGCATGGGCCAGCTGAAGATAGTGCCAGGCGGCATACAGCTCACCGGTCAGGCGCTCATAATGGATATGCTGCGTGCATCGACAATACGCTCCAGGCATGGCCAGCCGATAGCGATAGGTAAGTGTGTTCCTCATATATAGTATATACAAAAATATATTCTTCTGAGTGTGCGTGTGTGTGCGGCAAAGACGTGCAACTCGCTGGAGGGTGATAAATGTTGGCATAAACGCATAAACGTACGATGGATTGCACGTATGCATACTTATATCAGATTTAATATCTGTATATATATACAGTGTTGGGCAAAATAATGGAATCCAGCTGGTTGCATCTGTTGCCTTCCCATATTTCTAACACCTGAAGTAATATTTATTCAAATTTGGTTTTTCAACATACATATGTGCAAAGTGTCTTCTCAAAATACTGATCTTTTTGAATATAGAATCTACATGCACAAAATATTATCCTTTTAAATTGTTAAGTATTTGTTCAAAATAGGTGTTCGTAGTTTGCCACGAATTTTAAACACTCAGAAGGAACCTATAAAATATGTATATAAAAATTATCAGCATAAAAACTCAGTGGATTTTGCCATGTCGGCTTGTCTGTGTATACTCGAACTAGTTCCTGAGTTTTTGGGATATCTGGCCAGAAGCCACTCATTTGTTGGAACCTCCGAAATCGGACCACTATAGCATATGCATAGCTATCATACACACTGAACAATCAGCATCATGTGCTTGTATGGAAAACTTTTTTCATTTGAAGAGATTTTTTCTCCAAATTTGGCATGGGTTATTGTCGGAGGCAATGGTACAATCTCTGAAGAAATATTTCTAATCAAGTCTTTATACCATATAGAGGACTGAACAATAGAAGTTCTTGTAATAAATGTTTTGCATCTGGGAAGGATCTCGGTTAAGTCTGCATGAGTGCCTGAAATATTATCTTGACATGTTCCTTTCATGTTCTCAGTTTTGGAAATAGAAAATGGTAACATAGTTATAGATCATGGGAACACAGAAGATAGTTGGTGGAAGAAATTCGTTGTTTCATCAAAAATTCGTTATCTCCAATCCAATGAATACCAATCATTTCATTCATGTGAAACATTGGTTAGGTTAGGTTATGGCTGGCTGTCCATGCCACACTAAGATCTAAAGGTCCTTTGTGATGCTAATGGAGCTTTAGTTTAATACGAGATGAAGCTTACGTCATGGAGGAGTTTAAAGTTGCTGCATAGTGTAATATAGGCTAGATATCTAATTCTGGTACTGCTCCAACCCCTTGAACTGCGGAACTGTTATATATAAGCCTAGTTCTAAGTATAATAAGGCCGAACAGAAGCAGAGTATGACGAACGTCTCTCTCATATCTACTACTTCACAGTACTTTCTACACGTTTTTTCGTTAATAATGGCCATCGACTCGCATATAATGCCAGTAAGTTGTGACCTGTAGCTAGACCAACAATCGTTTTGCACACTTTTCGAGACTGTGTGAACAAATGCGTGTTTTAATCCGTTTTCTTGCAAATAACCTTAGCGATTCTTCTTGACCTCTGCATATATCATCTGTTACTCATTCGTCTGTCAGCCCTTTCGAAAATTTCATTATGTATCATTTTTAGTAACTTGCGTGATTACTGAACTGATCTCGTAGACAGGCGGATAGCACTTTTTACTTTTGGTAATCTCATCGGTTATTTCGTTTCCAAAAATGGCTGTTGACCTAGAACCCAGTATACATATTTGAAGCCTTTCTTTGACAATCACTACCCGAGTATCCAATGCCTGCCCATTTCTACTCAGTGCGATATGAAATTATTACTTTAATAGCCGCTTCACAATTTATTCATGCCACTGACTGCGTTATCATCTGGAACAAACCACCCGAGACACCAAATAAAATTCTCTAACTTCTCCTTCTCGTACTCTCTCAGCCAAAATCTTAGTAGAAAAATTGGCATCGATAGCAATCATTTCATCATTTTAGCTTTTTTACTAACTTCTGAGTGAAATGCTTACAAACACAAACAAAATCGTATAAACCACACATGAACTTGAGTTCGACTCATAACCAGAGTCATCACCATACGCTTTTATCAAGTCATTTATAAGAATGAACAACTACACTTTCTCTTTTATTGAAATGGCTATAACCTTAACATCTATTATTCGATTGACATGAAGTAACATATTAGCAATGTTGATCCAGAAACAATTACTTAACCAGTTGCAGGGCATACTTGGGATCATTTTTCAGCATGAATTCACCTTTTAAGATAATTTCATCATCCGGATATGGTAGCATTACCTTCATCAGTATATTAACGCAGTTTGGAACACACATTTTTTCTTTTATTCAAGATTTTTCAACAGTTTCGAAAAAATTCCTTTTGCAAAAGACTGTACTTTTACGAGATGCTTTTTTTGTTTATAAGTGGATCTTTAATAGCTGAGTGTGTTTTGTTTTTTCAATTGCTCTATTTCCTATTGTCCGGCTAAAAACTGATGCTGGTAATGTGTTTTTGAGCGAAATGCTTTTTGTGCAATAATTCTGCAATTTTTCTTCTTTTTGCTTTCGTTTTTAATTTAATTTTTTATAATATTATGTTCCGCAGTGCATTCCGCGACCTATTTTTACACATAAGTAAGAATTTGGTTTCAACTATAGGAGTAGATGTGGTTTCTATTATTTTTCCAACACTGTATATATATATCTATAAGTTACCCACAAGTATATATGGTGTATGTGTGTTTGTGTGCTGCCAATGATATGCAAATTTGTTTGTCTGCGATTTGCGGCAATTTGTACGCCGCCAGCATGACACACCGCTACCAACACACACACACACAATTATGCACATTTGGTCATATGAATATGCATTAATAAGCGTATGAATAAATCTACAAATGCGTAAACATTTAGTCGGATAATGTTTGTCTGATAACGTCACGGCGCGATAAGATATTTACGCACGTAATTTATTATGGTGATGTCCCTATTAATATTCAGTTTGCATAAATTTACAAATGCTGAGATTATGTGGCGCTTAAAAGCCTATGGCCAACAACAAATTTCATCTTACACAAGCTCAGATGCAGAAATCAAGCATTCACTTCTACGAAATTAGTTGCTTGTCATCTTTCGTTTATGTTATTTTAATACATTATTATTTGTTGGCTTATGTTGTTTTTATACATACATATAGCCACTCCCACCCGTAATATAATATTTACTTGGTCAGAGCTGAGCATTAAGAATTTCTCAATCTTATAAAGATAAAATTGCTTTAAAAATTAATTCCTGTGAAAATATAATAAACTAACCAGCAAGACAGTCTTTTTACATAAAATACTCATACATATAGAATTAAATCAAAGATTTAAAACGTTATGGTTTATCCATTTGGAGCACAAATGAACAAACTTTCTACGTATACTTACCACATAGCTTAAATACCAGCTCTTGGAATATATTTCAGAATGTTTTGCCAAAATTATGTATGATATAATGCTTCGATATCGGTCAAATAGTAACTACTCCAAACGGTAGTTCCATAACTTGTTCTCATTTTAAAGGCTATTTCATAATGCCACCCTTATAGAAACCCGCATTCCCATTAATACATAACTGGGCCAAGCGATTTTCACAAGCAAAGACATGCAAAGATAGCTATCAATTAGGAACTCCCAACCCAGCTACCCTAGTTTGTAGCAAGTCACTACGAAGTTTTGATGAAAGATTTCCTTCGGAAAGTCCCATTGTTGAAAGTACTGAACCGAATTGAGAATTAAGAGGCACTTAATTGGTTATTAGAGTATTAAGATCTGAACCCCATGGTTTTCGTTATTTCCTTTATCAAAGAAAACATGCAAAATGTATTGCATTTTACGCTAGGGCCAATTTTTGATGCGTGATTAAAATCTTGAATACCGAGTCAAGCAATCACTAAGCTGTCATAGATCGTATCTCGATTATTGCTAAAACCCTCTATCAGAAATGTTATTAACTTCAAAATCCGTATTCCTTAATATTTTTATGAATGCTCCTGTGTTGATTTAATCTCGATTCGAATTTTTCGATGTTTCCTTTAATTGTTTAGAGTTTCACACTCTTAATATGTTTTAATTTGGAGCCAACCGGGTTCACATTTTATATAATTTTTTTTATATTTTTTTTTAATATACTATACATACTTCGTCAGGAGGCAACTTGATGCCAAAATGTTCAAATGACAGTCTCATCATATGTATACGTTCCCCGTAGACTCACTGGAAGTCTTTGCATTTGCACACATTTTCCAATAGAATAAGAAATTTTTACAAATTTCAAAGGCTAACAACTCAATTACAAAATATGCCCTAATTTAAGATTTACAAAATTCTTTTCCACTGTAATTATTATTATTATTATTATTATTTTTTTTTTTTGTTACTTTGATTGATTGAATATGACCGTTTTATTTCCTTAGGAATGTCATTTGTGTATGAATTTCGAAGTAATCGCGTTTTCTTTTCTCACAAAAATGGTGTGTTCAGTATTCTGTGCTCAACTCATGGTCTATCGTTGCGTGTTTTTTTCTCAACATTTTTTCAAGTCTTTTTATTTTTATTTTTTTTTTTTTAATTTTTTTTTTTTTTTTTTTTTTTTTTTTTTTTTTTTTTTTTTTTTTTTTTTTTTAAAGGCAATAATGGAATTTGTTAATGAGTTGATTGACATTTTTGCAAACTAAAACTTGCCTAAGTTTCTTCATGGTTTAAAAGCCTTGGAATTTTTACAAACTTTTTTGATTTTAATTTGAAGACTGTCTAGTATCACAGATCTAAATTTCATTAGAACCATTTTAATTTTCCACGAGTTTGGCCAAAATATATATAAATGTGTTATATTTAGTTGCAAATCTCACCTATTCCCTTTTATTTTATTATGCTACCGAAAATTGTTTGCCTTTGAAGTGAGTAGCTCAATGAAATTTTAAATATGACCTTAGAAAATTAGTTGCATTCTGTGTTTATTACTGGCAATTAATATTTGTTTCTGTGCAATTCATATTTTACCAGTAATGGTTAATGGAAGATCCTTTACTGTAAGGTTGATATTCAGACTAACAAACTTTTGTAAATATGAGTAATTTTGTCTGTTGGCCTTTACTAAGTTAAGAAGATGAGATCAAATGTTTTTCAATACTCCGTATTATTTTGAAATTCAATTCTTTTAACTGCACATACTTGTAGGCATATGTGTGGACTTTGGCTGAGTTTTTATGATTAATACACTAATTTAACTTTAAATTTTAGAAAATCAGATATAAAGAAGGCTCTTCTTAATGTAATACCTTCTGGTATGGAAGTAATTTTAAAGCTTTCACAACTCGTTTAACAATAAATCAAAAACTGGGCTAGTGATATTAAAAATAACCCCTATTTGTGCTTTATAAATAGATTTTTTATGTCTTTAAAGCTTTTTTCTTGATGTTTTCTTCCATAGCTCACTACTCAGAGAACCTCATAGATAAAGATCTTTTTCTTCTTCTTTTTCACCATCGTAAACAATGCTTACGCGGTTATAGCCGAGTTAACAACAGCACGCCAGTCGTTTCTCCTTTTCCAAATGTGGTGCCAATTGGGGATTCCAAGCACAGTTTTCCAAACCTTGTCTTTGCAATAGATAAGGTTAGGTTATGTAAACTGGCTAATCCGTGTGACAAGAGTCATATTCTCATGCTGATAATACCATTTCATTTTAATGCCAACAAGTGCTCATTTTCGATTCCCAGGACCCTCATAAATCGGCGGTTTGAGCCTGTCACATATTTATTGGGGTGGCTAATACCAATTCCTGCTTCGTTGAAAATGTAGCTACCGTGATGTTTCAACCATGGTCAAGGGGAGGAAATTGCGATTCAGTAAGATACTTAGCCTTCCAACCGTAACCTGACCCATGTGCATTCAGCATGTCTTTAAGAAAACTAAAGTTTTTCATAGCTTTGATTGAGCCACAACTTTATAGTAGGAGTTTTAACAATTCTAAAATTTTTTCGACACAATCTGATACCATTTTCAATACACCGTCTTCATTCTTATTCTACAACCTACCGAATGCTGTCAAATGTAAAACTATTACTCAACTAGAAAAAAAATTAAATAAAAATTCAAAAATCACAACCTAGAATACAACTAACTTTTAGATGTAACTCTTGGTATGTGCTGCATATTTCGTGCGAACAAAAATAAGCGACCTTAAGAAATTACTAGCAACTTAGAGAAATACATAAAGGTAGAATTCAGAATTAAAACTCACCGAGAACAAATAAATCTTGCCACACTCAACACAATGTGGAGAGCGCTGAAAATACGTGTGGCACGCACGAATACATTTCACTACAACTGAATATGCGTGTCTGTCTGTGTTGGCGAGTATGCAGTTAGGTGTGCGGCGCGCGTTGACTGGCGTTGCACAATTACAGATAAAAGTAGAGAAAGACAGATGAGATTTCCACCTAATGACAACATTAAGGTATGAGCAGAAACACAGTCACAGAGAGTGGACCACAGCCGCGATAAGATGCTGAAGAAAGTGTCATACATATGTTTGGTGATGGCGGCAATTCCACCTCAGTGACCCGGATGCAATCTTTAAATTTCTTCAACGTCTTACACGTTCGAAATACACACATAGTTGTGTGCGGGGGAAGGGGGCTACCCATAACAGTAGATGAAACAAATTTCCTGTGCTCAGAGTGTCTTTTAACTTTTTGGTGTCGTCGCCAAGGTTGAGTGGTTGGCTGGTCCATTGGCCGTGAGCTGCAGAATCGTGCTGGCACAAATTTTATTTCCGTTTCCGCTATCATGTCACACTAATCTTGCGGCTTGCACGCTTATTTGTAGGAAGAAAAATGTGAGTGCGCACTATGCGCACATTTTTGACTTTACTTTTCTGGCAGCGTATGTTGTGGGCTTCGGTTAGGTGCTGCGGACGGGTGTGCCTTATTACGGCACATTTGTTATGCGGCTTGTTTTCGGTGCACGTGCACATGCTCGTCGCTTATTTATTGCTATTTATATTATATAGTTGACATTTGGTATATTTGATTACACTATCTGCGCCCACAAATCGCACTCATATTTATGTTGTAATATTTCCTTGCAATTTTTTCGGTACGACCGGATGGATGTCATCATCAACGCCGTAATTCACATTGACTGCCACAAAAACCATGAAACTGAAAACAAAAAAACAAAAAACAAAAAACAAAAACCCAAACGAATAAACAAAATGAAACACTGAACCGATCAAATAACACATAACAAACAACAACCGCCCAACACTCTCGGCCAAACATCACACATTCATATCCCCCCATAAACCAAATGGGAATTGTGGTCATCCCCACATCGGCACCATACCGACACCTCAACAAACTACACTTCATCGCACTGCTGCGATGATTACCTACATACTCGCTACTCACCTGCCGGCGGCAACCGAATATCATCAACAGAATCATCACGTAATTTTTCAATCAATACACGTGACGCGAATGGCATGCTGGAGAATCATTTATTCCTTGGGCACGATAAGCTCGAATGCTTGGCGAAGGAAATTCGCATCAATGACACCAACGGACGAAATTTATTTTCTGTAAATCAAAATGAAGTCACAATCGGTGCACACGCGTTGCGAATTGACGGCGAAGGTGGCGCCATATTTCGGGAGTCCATACAAACGCCGCATGTACGCGCCGAACCCGGACGGGAGTTGAGGTGAGTACTCTGCACGACACAAAGTATTCATAAGACAAATGCAGAAAAATATATTTTTTGTGTAAAGTTCTATTATAAAAACACTAAACATTTTGCTCTTAAGGGGTACACCTAGTATCACAGCATAATAACATGAAATGTTTTTAAGAAAGAATTTAAGCAGTTTTTGAGTTACATGTGATCTCTAAAGGCGATATAAAAACGTTTTTTACTGCCGCAATCATTCCGATCTTCATGGTGGCTGAAACATAAAAGATACCAGAACATTTTGTCGACACAAGGACCTACCTTCGCAAAAAATCAAAAATTAACAAAATGACGTGCTTTAAAAAATTAATCTTAACCTAAATTTTTGTCATTTATGGACCGGCAAAATTCGACTTTTAATCAGATATACAGAACATTCAGTAAAAGGTTGAGTGATTACGGTGTGCTGCCGAAAAAATCCACTTTAAAAATATATTTATTGACAACTGATGGTTTCGCTTTTAAAGGCTGTAACTAGAAATATATGTCAATTATTCGCTTGGGCAAAAAATAGTAAGACTTTTTAATTTCGCTCGAAAATCCATTCGTTGTAATTTTTTTAAGGCTGGTATGACTGTCAGTAACATTGCTTGGTATACGCTTGTCTTTCTGAAGTACATAAAGTGCATTTGGCGATTCTTACGATGAGCTCAACAAAGAAGTTTCATTAAATTTTGTGTGCGGAATCATATTTTCAGTGCCAAGACGTTCAGAATGTTGGAAAAAGTTGTTTGTGGCGTAGTACAAATTATTCCAAATTGGACGAAAAAGCGTTGACAACGAACCACGTCCAGAACGCCATCAACATCAACTGATGATCAACACGTCAATAAGATAAAGGAATTGTTGCTAGAGAATTGGTATTACTACTGACGATGAGCGTTGGATTTATGCTTACGACCTGAAAATTTGAAAAATAAGTTAAGAATTTTAAAATTGTGAAGAAAGTCTAACTATTAGTTGGTCATAATAGCAGTATCTATGCTGTGAACTATCGCTAAATGCAAATCCAAAATGTTTAATTTTTTCAAAATTATACACTAGGTGTGCTCCTTAATGTCAAAGTGGCTCCAATTAGTAATTAGCTAATAAAAGCGCTTAAAGGATTACTCCATTCTAAAGCTATTAAGGGACTGTTATACTCTAAAAGGATTAGAAAAGACATCCATTCTCATAATATTTTTTGGGAAAATAATTTAAAAAAATTAAAATTACTTCTAGAAGTATTTGTTGCCAATGAAATATTCGAGAAATTATTTTACTGAAATTTACTTCAAAATAGTGGCTTTACAGATGGAAAGGAGATTGCTGGTCTCCAATTTTAACGCAGAATAAAATTCCAAGCAAAAAAAAATTTTTTTTTCATAAAACTGTTCAAAATTTGCACTAAAATAATTAATTATGCAACATACAAATATCGCTTCATATTATTCTATACCAATTATCTGTTTTGGAAAATAAGGTTATATTTGAACTCAATCAGTAACAGAAAGTAGTCAATTCTTTACGATTTTTCTGGCCGTGTAGAAAAAAGCAGTTTTGAAAAAACACGATTTTCAGTTTTATATTTGATCTAAAAATATTTCAACCTGAACTCTTTTATTTTACTTTAGGTAAAGTTAGGGGCAAAAAATTTAGGTTTACTGTATTATAAACAGATCTTATAATAACATCCTCTGAGCATTTCGGGATTTGGCAACCTTTGTGTTGCAATCTTTTCGATGGTAAAGTTTGACAGTTTGTATGTATAACAACACAGAATATTTTGACATGCGAGGACTATTTTTGTTTTTTACAGTAACATAAAATATTCTTCTCGACTAAAAAATTTAGTTATTAGTGTCTTACATTTTCGGGAGGTTATTTTTTACAACTCTGGACGTGAACTAATTCTAACAGTGCATAGATGAACTCAGTTCAATTTTTGACGATGAAGCTCCAACAATGACCAGTATTTCTCGATGATAAGGTGAATTCAACTGAGGTCGTAAACCTCACTCCGTCGCGAATTTGGTAGAGGTCGCCAAAATTAATCAGTTATAGTGCCGGAAACTATTGATGCCATGCACAACCTGATATTGCGTCATGTGGCATATTGCTAAGCATTAGTGGAACTAGCATACATTCGGTATTCCTTCTTATATGACGCTATAAACACTTTCAACCTCGAGTACTATCATTCCGGTCTGAATAATTCTCTCACAAGCTATCAGCAATAACTTGCTGTGAACTGCCAGAGCTAGAAAGGTTTTTAAATTATAATACTTTACATACATAAACCTCGTTTCCATGATTAGCCACATTAAGGGATCTTCTCAGTTTAAGAGTGGAAACCAATTTGAAAAACACCATTCTGAGAAAAACGCGTTTAAAGATTGGAGTCGCGGCGTCCAAACATTTTTCCCAATTCAACAATAACCTTACGTATGAGTTCTTACTGAAATTTCCGTTATATATATCTTCTGCAAATACTTAGATATTATAATTGATCATTCCATTCCTTCTATTGAATGGACATATTAGTGTGAGGGAAAACATTACAAGTCTCTCATTTCATGTTTTCTTAAAGGCACTATGCACTATAATTTATAGTTCGTGATATTCCGGTATGATAACAGCTCTTTTGCATTTGGCTTGTTTTTTATAAAACTCGATTTAAGTATATATTTTTTGTCTTATTTATTATAACTCTCATCGAGGGTTCTCCAACTATTATATCGATCTTCCAAATTTTATGTACCATACCATTTTTGTAGTCTGTATATGTTTTGCTTCAAAAAAGGGTTCAGTCCTTTCATCTTCTTTGTCGTTGTATATTTTTCCAAGAGACGTGTGTTTGTGTTTTGAAAACAGAAAAACAAGAGAAAGTCACTTGTGGATACGAAAGATGCAGTGGCAGTTCCAATTTTTCCAATTTGCACTGATTTTATTTATTTGTGACAAAATATCAGTGCTTTGCTGCTTTTTACTTCTTCAAACTGGGAACTGGTCCATCGCTTACAGCGCGTCGATCGAAGCTCGCTTGCAGGTCCTTTTGTTACCTATAATTTTTCCATATAGCTTTTCTATGGGAGTTTATGCTTTACCGGATATCGAGATAAACCGTTCTTAGTTCTTAAAAATTCAATCACGCCCTTCACCTACCTTTTCCCGCCTTCAGATTGCACGCAAATTACTTTTCATTTAATTATTGTTATTTTATTTTTCGTTTTCAATGGGTTTCAACCTACTTTGAATTTCCTTATTTTTTCCCCCTTTCAAAAGCTTCAGGACTGGACTTCTAATACTAGTTATTCTAAACACATATATCTCACAAACGAATTGACCGATTTCTGTAAAAACACATTTTTCTTTTAAGGATTTGATATAACTACAAAAAATATGCAATCAACTTTAGTGACCCTATACAACTTTCTGCTATTTGATACTACTTGAAAGAACTGTTTTCAGAGAAAAATATTTTCTACTTTATAACAATATGTCACAATATTATATAATGTCATCCGAATGTATATTCTATAATGAGTTTTAACTCTCTTAAGTTGTAGAGTAGTGTAGATTCATGCCTATAAATTGGAGAAAGTGAAAAACAGACAACGTGAAGAATAGCCAAAGCAATGAAATGAAAGCATCAGTTGGGCAGAAAGCATATGAATCACTAGCACACTTTCAGTCCGCAGCATTTTGCTCCAGTCGATTTTATTTCGATTTGAATTATGATGTGCAACATACGCCACACGAGGAGCACATACCAGCGAAGTCAATGCGCGAAGTGTTGAAAACACTAAAGGGCCGACAGACAAATAGGCTCAATCTGCGCCCCACGAAGCCCCCGACACACACACACACACCACACATGTGCATGGGTATTCGCCTTAAGCGAGGCAATTGTCAACCGTATGAATGCGAAGAATAAATGGCTGGGCCTGCAATGGTCAGCTGCAAATTGCTGTGATGGAAAATATTGACTCGCTGGCATTTTATATGGAGCTTCTCGAATTTGTCGAATTGATTTAAAGGTGGACACATGCATGAGATAGCTCGCTGTGACGTATACCTAGGGAGTTCCGGTATGCAACAGCTGCATATGTGCAATATGTGTCTTCGCTGTTATTTATGTCAAACTATTATTTGGCCAAAGGCATTACTTTAAATATTGCAAATTATTTGAAATAAATTGATCCCATTCAGTAAAAATCACATTTTATATAACAAGAGAACTGAAATCGGCACCTTCATTTTTATATTGATAAGAAAAGGTTCGGGAAATAATATACTTGTTCAAAACCAGCAACGAACAAGCTCCAAGAGAGTTATACAAAATATACAATACATATCAAATATCAATTTTATATTTAACTAGCCATATAGTACATTTTCTACAATAGACTGGATTAACATCAGAATTCTACGCAGATTTTTCCTAAAAAGCATCGGCAATAAATCTCTAGACCTACTATACAATATGAGATGAGTGTAAATTTTAACTTTCTAACCCACCAAATCCGCTAAAACAAAATTAGTGCACTCATCGCCAATCTTCAATTAGAGACCTCAATGATCACGATCCGTGCATTCGAAGAAAACCATCGGACGCCTACTATTCTAGTAATTTCAAATTTGTGCCTTCACTTGGGAAAATTTCAGTTGCAGAAACATCACCAAAATCAACAGCAAAGATAAATATAATAGCAGACTTTATTCTGAATAGCTTCGTTAAATCCTTCTGTAATTCATATCTTGAAGGCTAGAAATTAATATATGTATTTTTAAATTATAATGGAAACGATTAAAGATTTAAGTTCTGACATTGGTGAGTTCTTACAAAAAATCTTACCCTTTCAGTTGGGACTCCAACGGCATCGGTCAGTTCACAAATGTGGCCCATATACGAAAAATATAATCAGTACCCATACTATTCGCTTTGGGCTTGTACCATGCGCCCAAAATCGAATAGTAAGAAATATGTAAGTTTCGATTTTTTCTTCAGGTAAGAAAATTTCACTTACACATAACCAATGCCAACAGAAGAGAGTGGGCGAAAGCAAGCATTGCATAGTTGACAAATAAATTCCAATACAATTCATATGTTGACGCCTAAAATACAACGTTAACGATTCTCAGGATGAAAATTTGCGAATAATTGCAGAAACTCATTGATTTGCGACCTCAACGGCCCCGATCGGTTAATAAACGCGGCAGTTATTTCATGAAAAAGATTGAAAACACCGATACTATTCAGTTCTGAGTGTCAGGATAGATTTCGAATTTTTTCTGCTTTCACACACACACACACATGTTTAGCTTACTACACAAAAATGTAAAATTACCAAAATAATCTAAAAAATCATGTATCTATTTTTGTAAAAAACAATATTGGAATTGATATAAAAATAAAGGGTTTCAAAGTAAAAAAATACAAACATTTCTTTTATTTAATTATATCTTTGGTATTCGCATACAATTTTAGTTTTACTAGCTTTGTTCTTTTTAAATTTCTATTATTTCATACTTTCAACTTATTCAATTTCCAGAAATTTTCCTAAACTCCACTCAAATCACTCTAATTTGGCACCAAAAAAATCAAAATCGGTTAAGATTTTCCGCAATTCCGAAAAAAATCGCAATTTTCTCCATTTTTACCAATTTTCCAAACTCCTTTCAAATCCCTTTAATTTGAGGCCAAAATCATTAAAATCGGTTAAAGTTTACCGAATTTTCGAAAAAATCGTTATTTTCTTCATTTTTACCAATTTTCCAAAACATCTCTTCAATATCTTCAATTTGACACCAATATC